CATCAATGTATTCTTTAAACGTTTAATATCCAGACTTTCATTATATTCTAGGCTTAAATATCATTACTTTTAAACTTGAGCAACGTAAATATCTGTTAAATCCGTTAATTTATGAACTTTTTGTTATTTTCAAAAATTTATAAAACTGAGAAATACTAGGGTAGGATAACTTGCATATAATAAAGTTTGTTACGATATTTCTTTTGTAAACATGAATAATGATCTATAGAAGTGAAATTAAATTTTTAATTAGTGTCGTCACCGGCGAATCTGTTGTTAATCTAGACTAACTATTCGCGTAACATTAAACCGAGAGCTTGGTTTACTTGGCTTAATTTGAGACATGTAATCGTTATTATTCATCAGTATAATTTTCCCAGAATCCTTGTGTGTCGTTGGTATTATCTTTCCTTCCAGCCGAAACCCTTGATCTGTCTTTTCTTAAGGGTTACAACGTTCTTTCTACGAAACAGTTAGCACGGTTTTAAGTTAATATTTGTTTATTTCCTAAATTGCACATGTTTATAATACTAGTATTATGATTCATTCATGCTGTATTCTATTTTATTATGTAATTGTTACTACTGTTTTCTACTACAAGTTCTCCTTGCAGCATATACTGTAACTACCTTGATTTTATCTATAGTATTAGATAATTAGGAATTAAATATAAAAAGAAACAAGTTCTTTGTTCAATTATACCTTACATTGTTCTTTTGTTTTTTCTAGTATTAAGTCCTAAAATAAATTCTAATAATCTTGTAATATAAAAATACAGACTGTATATCTGAATTCTTTTCAAATAATATATGGTATCAATATTAAAACTATATCTATTGTCTCTAGTCCATTATATAACATGTATTATTAATACTTTAATTATAATTTGGGTTATTGATTTTTATAATATTAAAATTTATATTTAATTTGAATAATTATTTTTGAAAATGAATCAAATTTAAGGTATAAAGTTATTATTCTAATAATATACCTCTAAATTTTAAACATATAAATTATTGGTATTGATTAATCATATAATTTTTTATCACAAATTTATTGATTTAAATTTCTAAATTTTAAATTTTAAAAAAATTAAAATATTGATATCTTTATTAATACATAATATTATTTAATAAATGAATATTTATTTACATTTTTATTAATTTATTGTTTTAAATAAACAATTGTTATTTAGTATTAATTGTATAAGTTTATTTATTTATATAATACAAGTTTATAATATTATTTTTTATCAAATATATTATGACTAATTTTTATTTAAATATAAAAATTGTTTTTAATATAATAATTGTAAATCTTTTGTTTAATAAAAGTTATATATTTTATATTTATAATATTATATTTGCAATAAAAAAATTTTTTTTTCAAAATTAATTGGATAATATATTAAATAATATAAAATTTAAAAATACAATATATAAAAAAATTTTTTTTAAAAATATATAAAGATAAAAAATATATTAATAACAAATAAACAATCAAATAAGTTTTAATAAAAAAAAAAGATATTATCTTAAATTTATTATTTACCAAAATAAAAAATAACTAATATGCATTAGTATCAACAATTGAAATTTTTAATTTTTTAATGATCCAGTAATGATTTAAAATAAAATTTAAAAATCAATAATAATTATATAAGACATTAAATTTAATTATTTTTTTAATATACTGTAACATATATGAGTATTTAAATTTATGCAATTTTAAAATTAAACTATTTTATAAATATAATTTATAGTTTTTGTTAATAAATAAACTTATTATAAAATTTTTATTTAATTTAAATTATTATTTATCAAATTATATATTGTATACTGTATATACTGTATGTTATTTGCAATATCTTATTTAAGCAAGCAAGAACCTTTAATTAACCTATATCAAATTATTTAAAATACTGTATTAAAAGTGTAGTCAACAATTATTTTGTTTCTTTTGAACAATCAATTTAAATCATTTTTCCAAAAATCTCTAGATTTTATTCGTTTTTATAGTTTTTATACATAAATACATAAAATTATAAATTCCCATTATCAAAAGATATTAAAATCATAATATGCAAATTTAATTGTTTGTTGGGCCATCATTTTGTTACCAACTTTAAATGATAGGATTTTGGTCTAAATTGAATGAACAGTTAGTTTCAAACGGTTCTGTAATATTAATGAAAAATCTTGTTCATACCTGGTAAGATAATCAAATCCGAATTTGGACTATTATATTACAGAATGAATTTAGTTTTACAGAGAACTAAACTGTTAGAACAATAATAATATGCAGTATACATACCAGCGTACATCCTCTACCTGAATTCTTCACACCTACCCAGGCTAATGCTGGATCAAGGTCTATAGTAAAAAAAAAATATAAATACGGTATAATAACGCGGGTCATTTAAAGCTGTTAAGCATGATTCATGGTATAGTAGCATTCTTACAATCGCATCTATTCATAAACCAAGTTCCAGTATCAATCTCATTTCCTATCCTCAGTGCCGCCTCTTCATCCTTGGTCCAAATACTTGCGGTCAACCCAAATTCAGAGTCGTTCATCAAATGAATGGCTTCTTCGTCAGAAGATACCTGTGTCAAAAGTATACATTTCCTTTCATAAAAGTTCCACACACACACCTAATCATGTGATCACGCGTCTTGATGTCGAAGAATTTTTACCTTCATGATGCCAATAACAGGACCAAAACTCTCTTCAGTCATGACTCTCATGGTGTGATTTACGTTGACGAGAACTTGGGGAGCCAAATAAGGAGTATTTCTCTGAGGATAGAATTTGTAAAACGTGAGAATACTAAAACTCCAAACACTTCAAATTAACAAATTACGCACACTGTCCTCCGGAAAAAGTGCGGGGTCGATTAAAGGTTTTGCCCCTTGCTTGACTAAGGAGGAAAGTAATTATAAGAACATTATTGCAAAAATTTCGCATCGAAAAAAACTAACCGGCTTCTTCAATTTGGTTACGAACAAACTCTGCAGCTTTCGTACGGACCATCGGACCAAGAGTTGTATCAGGTTCTAACGGATTGCCTAATTTATATTGCTAAGAATATTTTGCAAAAATAGAATCATGGGAATTCTTACGGAAGTTAAAAAGAAACAAAAATATCTAACTACTTTGGTCAGTTCCACAAATTTCTCCAAAAACTTGTCGTAAACTTGTTCATGTACATATATCCTCTCAATGGCGCAACAGCACTGCCCGCTGTTAAAGAAGCAACCATCCACCAACTGTTCCACCGTATAATCCAAGTCAGCGTCTGGTCTAACATAGGCAGGATCCTTGCCACCTAGTTCAAGTCCGATCGCTGTAGTAAGCACAAAAACATATATTAGCTTCAACACCTGTTGCCCTTGAATAGATGTGTAATTGTTTAGAAAAACATACCCATAAATTTGGTATTAGCGGCTCTCTGGATTTCTCTGCCACCCTCAACAGATCCAGTAAAATTTACGTAGGAAATATCCGAATGTTTAACGGCCTTTTCCGTTTCACCATGTGAAGCATGCAAAACCTAAATTTGACAGTCATAATTTATATATTAACGAATATTAACAAGGTATTTTTTTCGATCGACCTTGCACCCAGCAGTTTCAGAACATACTTGAAAAACATTTTCAGGTAATCCAGCTTCTTTGAAAGCTTCCGCAAACCTTTTGGCGCACAGGGGTGTTTGGGAGGATTGCTTCAAGATAACGGAATTTCCTACGGTTCAATAGTTATCAATTAAAATTCTCAATGGGAAATAACATTCCCAAAAACTCATTTGCAAAACCTACCCGAAAGAATCGCGGGAACCACGCCGTTAACGGAGATTAGATAAGGATAATTCCAAGCTATAAGTAATATTATTTGGCGCATCGTTAGGTGCATTGTTAGGCGCATTGTTAGGTGTCGCGGTTAATGATTGCTGATAGTTACCTGCGATGATGAGAACTGGTCCTAGAATTTCATAGAAGGAAAATTAGTATCAAGACAATGTCAATGTACATAATAGCGCATGTTATGGAAATTTTACCTAATGGCTCTTTCCGAATAAATCTCCTAAAACCCGGTTTACTGGAATCAACAATTTCCACATCCTTGAGACTCTCTTCTGCGATAGACACCATGTACTTGGCTCTCTCAGCTGTACCGTTAATTTCACTCTCGGTATACCTAATCGGCCTGTTGATAAACGGATAAAGCTCATATGTCAACTCTAAGAACGTTAAAACCGGTATAACGCATTCTGCGAGACTAACCTGCCCATCTGCATTGTCAACTCTTTTGCGATCTCCGCTTTCTTGGCAACAAACGCGTCCACAAATTTTGAAACAATTGTAGCGCGTTCTCTGACGGGAACCTTCTTCCATGACAGAAAAGCTTTCTTTGAACGTTCTATTATGTCTTCGACTTGTTCGCTGGTGGCCAATGGCACGGTAACAAAAGGTTTGTTATCGATGGGTGAGATGGTTACTTGTTCAGACATACTTAAAAGAACATGGATCGATCGTTGATTCTTTAAATTTTAATGTTGACATAATTTCACGATTGCTTACTTGAAATGGTAAGAGCCGTGAGAGTCCCTTAAATTGCGGCTAACCTAATTCTCATAGATCAGGAAAAATAGTTATTCGCATTATCGGTCCTCGTGTTGGGTAACCAAAATAGAAAATTCATATGTTTTTTTTTGTAGATCAAGGAGTTTTGAGTAGGAACAACATATTTTAACGGAAAATAATTAATATTCTAAAATTACTAGTTAAAAAAAAATATTCATTAATATTATTTTAATTTGGTTTTTTTTAATTGTCAAAAAAAATATTCATTAAATATTATTTTTTAATTGTCAAAAAAAAAATTTCGATGCACCCCGTATTACAACACGCGCATATATGATACATAAAAAAAATATGTTGACCATTATAAAAACATACATATTTATACAGTATATTTTTCTCGCTCATTCACAAATTTCTAAATTTGTAGATATTATCAGTGGTGTGCATATACAAAAAGTTTCCGTCGCGGAGAAAAGGGTGCGTATTCCGTGATACGAAAGCGTTTTCGGATATTCCATAATAAATCCCCGCCTTTAAATAACAATATCTAAAGAAGAAAAAAAAAATCAACATTTTCACAGTTTAGTATATGATTTTACAAAAATGGTCAACCTACACAAAACCGCAAGGTTAGATGATCTTCCGGCAGCATAATCTGATAACAATATGACAAATCAGTCCACGAAAAATTTGTAATTATTACGTTACCAATGGCACAATACACATAGGCCAGCCGTTCAAGCATTATTAGATCACGAGATTTTACCCTGTGTGACAAAAAATGCAGATATCTGTTTTTGTTTAAAAAAAAAAAAAAAATCATTTCCCTCGTTCGTTACCTTTAATAAATTTCGTTAATGATCAAAAAAAAATAATTTTTTTTTCGTTGATTCGATGGTTATAGAATGAAAAATATCATTATTTAATACCGATCGCACATCATCGTGAGGGTTGACATAAATAAATAACGTAAGGTACACATCTACTATTTAATAAAATTTACCGAATTTTCGATTCTCTAAACTCCATGATCTTGTCGGAGCTTATTTCACAAAGGGATAGGTTAACATACGTAGTCGATATGAAATATGAGTATTACTCAGTCCAGGTCCCACACACAGTGTCACGGAATTGTGATTTATGTGATGCAATTCTTTTAAGCATAAAACCTTTGAGTCACTACACACACACATCGATCGATCAATAACTTAATAATCATTTCTTGAAACCATTCACCTCGCATAACACACATTTTGATCGCATATCCAAGTGTCAAAATTATATTAGAAAGCCCCATTTGAACATAAAAAAAGAGCGATCGCATTCATTTTCATTTTTTTCCGTGTGGTTTTTTTTCTTTGACTACTACCGTAAGAGGTAGAAGTGCGTCTTCAAGCTGGGATACTGGTTTTTACTTTTCTATCACCTCGATGTTAACTCCGTGGGAGTTGGCTCACTTCAATCCCTTTTTTGTCATGCCCGAGAATATCTTACGAAAAATCTCTCTTAAAATAACTTTCTAACTCTGTATTTCCTTTTTTGCCTTCTTCTTGTAAGACAATTAATTATTGACTAAAAAATTTGAGAACATGCGTTTGGAAGAATTTAGCATTGAGATTTTGGTAAATGGACAACCATTGGATGAATACAGTCTTCCGATTGAAAATTCAAGTGTAAGTGCCAAAGATGATAAATTAATGATGGATGTGCATTATGTATGTGTCCTTTCGACTTTTGACGTTCTTGTTTTTTTTTTTTTAACCACTAGAGCGTGACCACCGGCAGATCATATGTGATTAGTAATGAATACACAAAGGAAAAGAAATACAGGTAGATTGTCTTTAAAGTACAGTTTTTTCTTCATAGGCACCATTATTGACGCTTGAAAATTTCCGATTTCCAAGCAATCATACGACATATGTTGCCGTGCACGAACCAGGATCACGATTCGTAGTTCGTTATTCGTCAAATAGATCAAGTTTGTGGAATCCGATGATGGCCTATGTTTATGTGGATGGAGAATATGATTATACCTATCGAGAAATACTTTCATCATCATTTCGCGAAAAAGATTGTTTTTGGAATAATTCACTCGACAAAAAATATTATTTCAAATTCGCCGTCACTGAAATGAGCGACACCTCTAGTCTAAATCAACTCACCGAACAAAAATCATGTGGAGGATTAGGTGCGATCTCAATTTATTTCTACAAAGCCAGGATCATTCCTCAGAAGAATGTTGTCATACCACCTTTCTCGGTGAATCAAGCCCAGGTTTCAGAATCGAAAACCAATGTTGATATTAAGATGACGACGGCATTCGAAGAGGAAGGAGGATATGTAAACCGTCAACCGATCTCTACCATGGAGAAACAGAGTGATGATCCAATTGCTGTATTACACCTTCACTATCGTCCCGTGGATTGGCTTAGAGCCCGCGGATTTGACATCCCTCGTTTGACATCACCACTTAATTCGAACAACAACAACAATCTACAAACAACACGTGAACCTTTTGCAATCACAAATGTCGACAATGATATCAAAGATGAATCAGAAAACGTGACCAAATGCAAAGTGATCCGAGAGTGCGCTATTCAACCTGTGATTGTCATTCATGATGATGATGAGGAGATGATAAATCCGAGTTTGTTTGGTGAAACCTACAGTAAACGAAAATGTGAAGATATAGAAGTGATTTTATTAGATTCCGATGATGAGAAGGCGGAAAACCTGGTTACAAAAAGGACGCGCATAGAATGCTAATAAAAGACGCGTGTGTATTATATAATTTTCTGTACAAATTTAGATAACTTCATGCAATAAAATTTAGGTAGCATAAAGAAATTCTTGAGCAATCTGCACTTTCACACGATATCCATGTGCTCAAAACTTGTTCTTTATAAAGTTGTTTTTCTTTCTTTCTTCAATCCCGGAGACTTACAAAAACGAAATATGAATTTTATAAAAAGTAATAGACGTCTTAGGAATTGTGACCCTATGAGGCCGCGTTGCCATTACTAAAAAAAAAAAACAAAAAAAAACACGAGATCAATTAATATAAGGTCGTCCATTAAGGATATGCAATCTGATGTCATTTTTCCATATAGGTTTGTTTTAGTATGTTCTCAGTGGCAAAGGTGGTTTTCTTAAACCAACTCATTGATCAGACAACTACATATTTGTATACAGAAGAGCAAAATATATAAATATACAGCATAAACATATTTTGACGATTAGAATAATTTCATTTTTTTTTTTTTAATTTAAAATAATTATGACATATTTTTTTACATTACCAATGGATTGTTTTTAATTAATAAAATTTCTATTAACATTGACATACAGTATAAACGCATAATTTACACCACAGGAAATTATTTTTTTTTTATAAATAATTAACATCTTATCTTAACAATGAATGATTTGAATTTCGGGAAAAAGTATCATTATTTAAAAAAAAAAAAAAATTTAAAGTTTTTTTTTCTATTAACAATTGATTTCATCGTAAAATTTATGTTACATATTGACGGGGGAAATTTTGATTATTACTCTAATAAAATATTATACAAAGTTATACAGTATTATCAAATAAAATCAATTCTTTGCTATTTTGTATCACTCATCATAAAAATTTACTGTATATTGCTAATGATTAAAGTATCACCAAAAATTTATGGTGTTTTTTTAAATAAAAAATCAAATATGCAAAATTCAAATTTAATGGATCAATTTTCCTTGTGGGAATTTTATAAACACACACAAAAAAACAATTTATTGCCTTTTTAAATTAGACTTCTATGATACCTCTTTTAATATATGCATTTCGTTTTTTTCTTTAGATAATATGATTCATAATCTTACGTGTGTGATATTAATCACAATTTGGCAACGTGTAAAAACTATTGTTTATTTACAGTTTATAATAATACGGTATATACTTTATATACTGTATATTGCATAAATATATAAAGTATATACTACTAACGGTCTCGTTACATCGGTGGTCTGATTATCAAACTACAAATATAACGGGTTTATTTTAACCAAAAAAGAATAAAATACTCTAACTATATATTGCAATCACGATTTTATGATTTATTATTTCTGTCAAGATCGATTGCAAACTAACAATGCCTGTCTATTTTTGCTTCCAAGTGTCATCATCTGACTTGGATCGTTTCCCATTTTTTTTTACTTATCGAACGCGACAACCACATCTGACTTGGATCGTTTCTCATTTTTTTTACGTTGCACTTCACTTATCGCACGCGACAACCACATCGCGTAGATTATTTGCAACCAACTGACATACTCACTCACGTGTCTAAAGTGATTGCAATATAATCTTATATGATGTTTCATTGACCGAAAAATTTGACATGACAAATCTCATTTATGTATAGATATATATACAAAAAAAAAAAAAATTCAATATTCTTTATATATATTATTAATTAGTTAACAATTCTCTTCAGATTCTGATTCTTCAAGAGAGTTTCTATCTAAATTTAGTCATAATCTCTTTTTGGAATGGAGGTAGTGTCAATTACCTTAACATCCAATTCCTTTGGACTTTTTAGATCCAAGTTTTGGGCGATGTCAGCCGACAATATTAATTGATCTACAATTTTATGGTACCGATTGGACCTTATGATCCCTTCTATGTGATTATTAGTAAAAAATAATGATCCCAATATCTCAAGTTTCAGAATTGGTGTGTTTTCACACACAGGTTGGAGGAATTTTTCCAGGGATATTGAAGTAAACGACCACCTTTCTCCGTGCAGTGCAAACTTTTTCAATGATCTGGGCAAACCGCTGCTACCTAATTGTTCCAACATTTCATTTGTTTCAAACACATTCAGTGTGAATTGCGATTTTTTTTCTTGACAAAGAATTACCGTCTCTATTTTTTGACAGGTTGCAAATAGTAAAATTATCTGAGGCACTTGTCGATAATTCTCTAGGGTGGTCTTAAGAAACGTCAGATTCCGAAATTTCTCTGCAATCATTCCAATTGTATTCATACAAATCACGCCATTTTCGTCCGGCGTGTATGTTAGTTTTCCCAGATGTATCTCCCGCATATTTGAAGTACATACACTAAGAATTTTTTCTACGACCTCCGGTGGCACATCCGTCTCGTCCATCTTGAGCGTTGTGAGTTTGGTTATTGTTAGGATGGGACCTGGTGATTTCACGAGATCAGGCTTTCTAAAGTGACAATTTTTGAATTCTAATTTTTTCAGATTTGTCAACGGCGTTAAATAATCATTATGCAAAGTGTTAAAATCTAACTCACTAAAACATAAACTACTCAAGGAATTTGCCTGTGTCTTTAATGCCAACATTATGCTCTTTAACCCTACAACACATCTTTGCAACTCAACATGATGCAAACTTTTCTGAGCCTTGAGCAGTACAGCTAAATTTTGTGCTTCTTGCTCAGATGAATTTGTCCGGTGATTCATTCGAGAAATTAAATCAATTTCGTAATCCACCCTCACCACCAAATATTTTATGTAATGACAAATTCTCGAAAGCGATAAAAGCAAGTTGGCCTTGCGGTGTCGAGTGGTGCAAACTAGTTTTGTCAACCTTGCAAGGCAACCACTGGAACTGGGATAGTTTGAAAAGGTGAGGTAATCATCAAAAAATGAATTCCGGTATCCTGAATTTCTATGCCAATACAAATTGGAATAACAACCATCTTGTTGACCGAAGCTCTTGGCCGCGAATCTCGAGTCAAAGGAAATTTGTTCGATTGAGCGACTACCGCTCATAAAAGTTTTGCACATGATCTGCGCCATCCTTCGGCAAAGATTCTCTGGAGCAGGGCGATCACATGATATTTTGGGATTGAGGAAAGAAGGAACTTGCAGATTAAATTCGTTAAGATCCTGCGAATTTAATCTTGGTCCGTGATCTGATGATGTCTCGGATTCGGTGTTGAGAAAAAGTATAATCGCAAAACAATCCTTTGTCACGTATCTTTTACATTCCGACCCTTCATCATCAATAACAACTTGACTTCCAGTTGATCCCCGAACTTTCGGTATTGGCGAATCACGTCGACAAACATTAATTTGATTCGAATAATCCATAGCCTTTGGCGGATCTCTTCGAGCGAAAGCTTTGTAATCCAACCACCAATCTTGGATGGCCATATTTAACTCGTGAAATTCTAAACTTTTCACGTATCTAACATAGTTAAACAACGGCATCGACTGTGAAGCTGATATAATCTCTTTTTGCATTAAGGCGGGATTCAGCCGAATGAGACATGATAGAATTGTTTTAAGTAAATTGCTGGCCTGTGAATATCTCTTTAGCAGAGAACAATTGCATAGTTCTTTGTTGCATGTATACAATATATGAAATGGTTGCCTCCATAAGAAATCGATACAATGTGTGCACCACAAGCGGTTAACTAAAATGCAAGAATGTAGTGATGAACGATCATGCTCAAGATGAACGAAAATTAATCGAAGACATTCGGGAATCTGAAAAAGACGAGACATGACGTTTCGTGTGAAATTTTGTGACAGGGCGCCCTTTTATATATGAAAAAAAAAAAAGATTTTTTTTTTTTTTTTTCTAATAGACAAATCCGGAGAGCAACACAATATACTATCTAAGTCAATAAATAGAGTTAGGTGTTATTACTGAAATGGAAACAAATATGGTGGTCTGTACGATTTAAGCCATAATGAAAAAAAAAAATCATAAATATAAAAATATAAAAAAAATACAATATGCCAAAACCGTATACAGTATGTATGTATCTTTTTTCGACCGAATGAATTTAGACTTTCTGAGAAATAATTCTACACTCACAACTTTTTGGAATTACGTATTCACACAAAGCGATGTGATATACGTAGTTGAGAAAATGTATGATCCAATGACAACGCAAATGTATGTTTTACATTACATCTATGATGTGTACCACACTGCACATCAAGCATATGACTCACATAATCGATATTTCGAGGTATTGTAATTTTCCCACGATAACATTTTGAATTGCGTATAAAGAAAACGATCACGTTAAAAAATTATTATTAGTTTTATATAACAAAGCAAATACCGTATATTGTCAAGAGTTAAGAAACATCTCTACAGTTGAGATGAATCAAGTTCTCAAAGGCACGCATCTTTTCGGCATATTCCGCTTGCTATTTATTTAATTATTTGGAATATACTGTATTATTTTTCTTTTTTTGTTTTTAATTTTAATTAATTGGCAAATTATATATACAGTATATTTAATTATCAGTTATCTAATATAATTTCATAATTTAACATTAATATATTCTTTGATGGTATTAATTTAATCATATATTAAATGATTTATTAAAAAAGTCTTTTTTAATTACCATATATTAAACAATATACAATTAGTTTTAATTATAATAAAATTTTATTGTTATAAATACAAAGAAAAGATTATATATAAAAAATTGTTATTTAATTTAATTTAATTTAATTTAATTTTAATTTAATCAAATATTTTATAAATCAAAATGAAATTAAATAATATTTTGAAATATAAATTATTAAAAAAAAATTCACTCAAAAAAATATAAAATTAGATTCAAAACAAACTTATCAAAACATGAATTCTATAATATATTAACACAAAAAAATTAATATAAACCTTATATTAATAATTAAATTCTTGAGTAAATAAAAAATATAATTCTGTTAAAAAACTAAATAACAAACAATATTTATTAATCTTTGGACAAAAAAAGATATAAAAAAATAGATCAATATTATTTAATTAATGAAAATTTTTAAAGTTATAGCCAAAAAAATTCTTAACAAACCTTTTAATCTTTGATATAAAAAAAAATAAGATATTCAAAAAAAAAAAATTCTTTTTCACTTCTCCTTTTTATACTTGAAAATTTATTTTTTTAGGAAATTTTTTAAGTTGTTTATTTTTTCTTTACTTTTTTTTCCTTTCTTTTTTCTCACTTTTAATTACAAATCCTTTATTTTTCCTTTTCTTTTCCTATTCTTTTGTTTTATTTCTTTATTTTTTTCCTCTTTCTCTTTTTTTTTTTTTCTTTTCTTATTAAAGTTAAATTTTTTTTTCTTCCTAAAGTTTTTCCTCTCTAGGTCTTTCTTTTTTTCTAAAAATACTATATTCCATCTTATTATTCCTCTGATTAGCTGATTTTCTTTTCTCAAAAACCATAATAAGAGGTGGCAACCTTTTCCAAAAAGTGGGTTTTAATAAGTTTCTTCTTTCTATAATTTTTTAGAAAAAAGACAGATGGTTTATTTTCTTTAAAAGATCAACATAATTATTATTATTAAATTCAATATTGTTTACTTGTTAATAATTAAATTAAATATATTTAAACCATTGTATAACTATTATTATTCAAATCTCTAAGTACTGTGTCTTATAGAAATTTAGTAAAATAATATGTAATAACTAGAGATTCTAATTACTTCTACAAATAGAGTTAATAATAATAATAAAAGCTTCTTGTTTATTTTTTTACAATATAGATCTCATATATAAGATTAGATATTAATATATATAAAAAAATTCAATCCAACTCTATTCATTGGACACTTTTGCTATACTTAAACAATAAATATATCAAATTCTTTTTGTAACTTGGAGACCAATTTATATAAAGTGGCTATAGCACCTTCATATATTAAGACATCAACAATCTAATACTACTATCACTATAACTGACTTCATTTGCCATATATTAAGTCATATTTGGAAAACAAGTATGTCAATCCTAATTATGACTTGGTTGCAGTACCTTCATATATTTAAATAATTAAATTATCTTTAAATAGCTAGATACCATTCAAGACTTTAATATAGTTTTTAAAATTCTTTTTACTATATTTTTTAAATAATATTAGAAGTATAGATGAGGATCATTAGAGTCTTATATTTAACTCTTTTTAATTAAAAAAGACACATATATCATTCTGTAAAAATTTTAATCTTGTTTCAAGTCTAAAATTATAATAAAAATATAAAGAGTAATTATTATTTTGTTTTTTCAAAAAAAAAAAATATTTAATCTTAAATTTAAATATAAAAAGATTCAAGAATATAAAAAACTTTTTCTAAAAAAAATAAAGACAAGACAGTTACTACATCTAATTAAAGATTAAGTTACTTACAAAATCCTAAGAAAAAGAAAAAACAACCTAATAAAACTTATTAAATTCTAAAACAATAATAATCCAATCAATAACAATTACAATGGTTGACATAAAGACCGGAATTTTTTTCTATAAAGAAAATTTTTTTAATTTATTTATACTAATAGCTTAAATTTCTTTTATACATTATTTAATATAATAACTAGCCATATACGAAAAGCTTAATAATCAATTTTTTTTCCTTCGCACTTAATTATCTCTAAAAGTCAGTTTTTCATACTCATCACCAACCTAAGAAAAATGCCTGAATCTAAAGCCTCCCATTCTTAATAAATTATTGACTGAAACTCACTTTTAGAAAGCATTTTTTTTTTCATTAGCCTAACATTTATTTTTTTCTTGACCCTACCCTTAAATATTGCTTACAGGTTTTTGATCGGATTCAAATCTGGCGAATATGAGGGCCAATTAAGACTTTAAATTCCGTGGGTCTCAAAAAGATCTTGTGTGATGCCTGCCATATGAACCGGAGAGTTATCTTGTTGAAAACATGGCCTATATTTTATTCAGGAGATGTGAAGGAACAAGTAGATTTCTAAAATTTGACAGTATTTTCGTACATTTAGGTTTTTTGTAAAAAGAAACAATGAAATTGATCCTCATGAAAAAAATGCACCCCAAGCATGAACTTTGTAGGGATGTTTACTATGCTATGGTGTGGTTTAGGGCTCCAAAAAGTACCAAACCAGTATCGAAGTAGTATCGAAATGGTACTGATCTATAGTAAATTTAATATATGGGTTGTGATCCACTTATATAAATTTATAATAAATTTAAGTATCGAACTGGTATCTAACTGGTATCTAACTGATATCAAACTGGTATCAAACTGGTATCGAAGTAGTATCATTAGGAGCCCTAGTATGGTTGCGGGCTTCCATGATGATGTCTTACTAACTAGGTGTTCCGAAACATCTGGAAAGTTGTTTTATCTAAGAAAATAGTATTAGTCCAACTGTCATAAACATGATTCTGAGCCTATTCAAGATGGGCAATAATATGAGAAGGACAAAGAAGAGGGATCCGGAGTGGGTGGCAAACAATGAATTGAAGGTTATTTTTTAACATGTGCTGAACAATGCAAACGGAAATCTTTATATTAGGATTTTTTTGAGCAAGCCTTTCAGTTATTTCAGCCACAGTAGCAGCATTATTTGTTTGAATGATCTAACCAAGGTGATGTCTTTGTGGAGGCACGAGAATTTGAGGTCTTCCTGAAATGAAGAGTAGTGTAATGGTGGATCTTTTTTTAAGCTAATTGATAATGTCGTACACTGTAGTTTTCAAAAAACCTGTTATTCATATGATTTCAGCAGGTTTCAGTGTATTATTAGTCCAAAGCTCACTTATAACTGTTCTTTATACCAAAAGTCTAGAATTGCAAGACATTTTTGTTTTTTTTTTATTAAGGAGTGTGGAAATAGATGAAAAAAAAAAAATATAACGTGTAAGATTTTGAGATAAAAATAAAATAATGCAATTTTATATTAAATCAAAATTGATATCATTATATAGTTTTTTGTGAACCAGATTAAATTTCAGATCTTTATATCGACCATAGTACTTTGGTATCAGTTTGATACTTTTCAAAACTCTAGTTCAAATATTTATTTTTATTTATTTATTTATTATTATTTTTTTTTACTGCAAATAAGTATAAAATACAAGACTTTATTAAATAAGAGTTTATAACTATTATATTAAGTATCCATTTAAATTAATACTAGCCTATTACATATAAAACTTTTGAAACAATATTGTATCAAGTATGTAGTATCATTTCAAAAGTGATTCATAAATGGCTTATACCTATTTGTAAACAGTTATGTTAGTGAAGAAGAAAATAAAATTTTTAATAATTAAGTTTTGGATGTATTGTCTGAATCTGTGAATTATAATAACAGCTTTTTTTGGTTAAAAATTTGTTAATTAGGTTTTGCTTGAATCCATGAAACCATATGAAATTGATTAAGGACTAAGTGAAATATATAAAAAGTCCAGAATTTTCACATGAATATAATATTGGAGTTGTTATACTGATTAGAAAAGCTATTGAAGTATTGTAATATAGAGTAGTTATTATTGTTAATACAAATAGATTTGAGCTGGTTTGATTGTTGTTATATTGAATTGATAATATATGATTGATTATTGAGTATATATTGATTGTTTAAAGGGATAGAACTGATTTAGATTTTTTGTGATAAAAAAATTTTTATAGATTTTTTGATAGTATAACATTATATATTATTAAAAAAATAGTTGAAAAGGTTTGGTTAAAACAAACAAGAGACCTAATAACTTTGCTTGA